CCCCAAAACCCCAAAACCCCAAAACCCCAAAACCCCAAAACCCCAATAATTTACCAAACTTTAATAAAAATGTTTGGAAATTTTGGAAAGAGCGGCAACAACCCGAGATCAGGCAGCTCAAACACCACTGCTTCAAATCCTAGATCGAAAGGATTTGGTGGAAACCAGAAGCAGAACAACTGGGGCTCCAATCCCAGATCTGGAGGGTATAATAACCAGAAGAAAAACTATAGCTCCTCAGGAAAGTTTAATAACCCCCGTTCTGGAGGTTTCAATAAGTCAAACCCTCGTTCTGGTGGTGGAGGTTTTCATAACCAAAAGCAAGGGTTCCAACATTCTAACCCGAGAAGTGGTGGCGGCTTCGGGTAAGGACTCATTTACCTTTTAAAAAATAATATTTCATCTAGCGGAGGATCTAAAGGCGGATCCTTCTTTGGTAAAAGCTCTTCAATGGCGGAAAGCGACAATGACCCAGGATTCATCGATGTTGAGGAAGACTATTTTGGTATTAATAGTGGAAATGGCAAGGCTAGTAACCCAAGATTCTCTACTAGACCAAGTACCATGGAGACTGAGATGACCAGAGGAATGTCAAAAAGATCAAGTTATATGGACACCGAGTTGTCAAGAGGCATGTCTAAGCGTCCTAGTTATATGGACACAGAACTTTCGAGAGGAATGTCTAAGAGACCAAGCTATATGGACACAGAAGGCTCAGGCAAGAAAGGATCTTCATTCTTTGGCAAAAATCAACAACAACACGGAGCACCTTTCTTTGGAGGAGGCTCTGGATCAAGTAACTCCAGAAGTTTTAATCCAAGAGCAGGAAATTCTCAAGGCTTTAACTCAGGATCTAGTGGAGGTTCAATGTTCTCAAATCAAAGATCTGGGGGATCTCAAGGCTTCAATCCAAGATCTGGTGGATCACAAGGATTCAATCCCAGGTCTGGAGGATCTCAGGGGTTTAACCCTAGGTCTGATCAGCAGTCAGCACATCAGCGTATTCTACCTCTTAAAATTTAGCTGGACTTCAGAGAGGAATTAGTGGAATCATTGGTAAATTTAATCAAATTATAGAAAAGGTAGCTCAAGAGATACTTCAGGTCTCATATTAGGAGTCTCCAATTCAGGCTCAGGAGGGAGCATCTTTGGAGGAGCTAGTGCAGCAAGTAAGATTCACTGTCCTAATATTACAGAAAATGTCATGAAACTAACAGAGATGCTCGGAGAAGATCAAATTGTTTCCGGAAACAAAGATGAAGGTAAAGGAAATAATTCTGAAGAACCTCCGAAAATAGTTGAAACTGATATTTCTATTCTCATGCTTGATATGGGATTCAAGAGCCTGCAGTCCAAGATATACTCAGATGAGAACCAAGAGCTCGAAGGAGATGGATTATTCTCATACTCTCCTCCTACACTTCAGCAGGCTGGATTTTAATATACAAAAATAGAATATTTCTATCTTTCTAAAATCCAGGGGTTTTGGGGTTTTGGGGTTTTGGGGTTTTGGGG